CCTGATATCGATTAAATCCGAAAGGTTACTAAAAGTCGTTTAGGGGAGGGGTGGTGGGGCGCAATCTCAAATTCGACCGAATTTTCATAATAAGCTTCCCCGAAAACATAATAGGCGACCCTGATATCGATTAAATCCGAAAGGTTACTAAAAGTCGTTTAGGGGAGGGGTGGTGGGGCGCAATCTCAAATTCGACCGAATTTTCATAATAAGCTTCCCCGAAAACATAATAGGCGACCCTGATATCGATTAAATCCGAAAGGTTACTAAAAGTCGATTGGGAGAGGGATGGTGGTTCGCAATCTCAAATTCGATCGTATTTTCATAAAAAGCGGCCCCGAAAACATAATAGTCGACGCTGATATAGATTAAATCCGAAAAGTTACAAAAAGGCGACGCTGGAGGGTGGGGGGCGAGGCGCAATCTCAAATTTGACCCTATTTTCATAATAAGCTACCCCGAAAACATAATAGTCGACCCTGATATCGATTAAATCCGAAAAGTTACTAAACGTCAATTGGGGAGGGGAGATGGTGGGGCGCAATCTTAAATTCGACACTATTTTCATAAAAAGATACCCCGAAAACATGGTGCATATTGGTAAATTTTTTATGTTATTTCAGAACAATGTTAATTCTGAAATATTCATTTCTTGATTTTTGCAATAATTTATTTATGAAATAAATAATTCTGAAATAATAGTTATGAAATAATTTATTTCAGAAATAACCGTTATTCCCGAAATAATTCATTCGTGGAATAACCATGTGAATTATTTCAGAAATAAATTATTTCAAGAGTGCCCAGGTCTAATACATATACAGTCCCCTAAGAGGGACACTTTTATACGAATTACAGAAGACCTCAAGAGCTACTACAAAAAAGATCACATAAACAATGGGACAATTATAACAGAAAAGAAGGAAATTCAAGATTTGTATTTTTTGTGTCGTGTTTTTTATTGAATAGGAAGCGATAACTAAAAAAATATTTAATTTTAAGTAATTAAAAATTGCTTCGCTGTAAACTAGATGTAATTTACTTCATATGAAAATAGAATTAGTCGTTCTTAAAACCATTTAAAGACGACTTTTGGGCGGCGAAACAAACCATTCTCTCTCCAAACAAAAAAAGTTCTCTTTTTAAAAAAATCATAAATTATTCGCTCTATTATTATTTTTTATCATCATCCGGCAATATTATAGATGTCCCAATTTTAGAAAAACTTCCTCCTTGAAGAAGGTTTAAGTCCATAATAACTAAGTTGAGGTTTAGTAGGGTAAAAGTTTAAATTTATCTCAACAGGTGTAAAAAAATTATGTCATTTTTTATCCTGTCATGTCAAATTACCTATGTTTTCAGGAAAAATAACTACAATTGATTTTTGCAAAGCTTTAATTTCATGTTTTGAAATGAATTATAGTAAACATAACTTCTTAAATACATTTTTTAATTATAAAAAAAAATTAAAAATAATGATTTTTCAAACATTTTTCAGGTAAAGTGGTTATGGAACTGTGTTTTTCACTCACTTCAGATTTATATTAAAATAATTGAACCATTTGTATAAGTGACAAACAAAATGTTTCTAGTCCTATAATTAAGTATACAATAAAGAAACCTAATTGCTTCAATTATTATTATGAAATCTCAAATATAAGGATCAGGTACATTTAGTTAGTCATTTATAAATACAGATCAATTCCTATTATAAAGATCTGGATGAAAACAGTATTATAACCACTTTATCTGAAAAATATCTAAATAATCATTATTTAAAAATATACAAAAATTTATAAATAAAAAGTGTACTTGGGCAATTATTTTTATTGTGATACAAGAATAAAACAATAAATAAAAGCTGTGCAACAATTAATTGTATCCATTTTTGCTAAAAACACAAGTAGTTTAATGCAACAGGACAAAAAATTACATAATTTTTTTTACATAATTCGAGATGAACTTCAAGTTTTCCCAAATTAACCTCAAGTTTATTCTCTAATAAACATCAACTTCATTCGCATGGACTTCAAGTTTTTCATTATTTTACATATATATTTTTTTTGTGATTAATATCTGATCAGTAAATGTTATATCAATGATCAAAATATGGATTGGTAAGTTGTTAACTAGCAATTTACAGACTTAAGACTTAAGTGTTTGGAATCTCCCAGTTATATCCTGACAATTTATTGAATCCTAATATGCAATAGGCAACAAAACAATGGTTATTTTGATAAATTGTGTTTTATAAGTATATCAATAAACTCTTTAAACTAGAGAATTTTTATGAGAAGGAGTTAGTCGAGGGTGCGGTCAAATAAATAAAAAATTAAAATATATTAATTATTTTAATTTTTGCCGACGTTTCGACCCACTTTGCAGGTCGTCTTCAGGGCTACAACAGATACAAAACATGTTGAAAATAAAAAATAAATATAAGTATATATAAAATAAGAAGTTGTCAGATACAGAAATAAAAGATGGTATCAGAGATATAGTGGGTGACAATGTAGTTAAATATTAAGAATTATATATGTAGAAGATACAAATAAATGGAAAATAAGTAGGAATAAAAATAAAAATAAAGGAGAATATAGCATGTAAGTTAAAAATAAACAGATTGCGATAAAAGATAAGGAATAAGTGTATAACAAACTAATAGAGATTACATTAGATAACTATGGGTTAACAGATAAAGGAAATAAATACATGAATGTTAACGAATAAATAGTTAATCTATTGTCACCCACTATATCTCTGATACCATCTTTTATTTCTGTATCTGACAACTTCTTCTTATTTTATATATACTTATATTTATTTTTTATTTTCAATATGTTTTGTATCTTTTGTAGCCCTGAAAACGACCTGCAAAGTGGGTCAAAACGTCGGCAAAAATTAAAATAATTAATATATTTTAATTTTTTATTTATTTGACCGCACCCTCGACTAACTCTTTCTCATATTATATCAACGGTCAACCATCTCTACATCATTACAGAATTTTTAAATCATAGATATGATTTTAAAGTCTTTTACTTTAATTTTACCGTTAATATGGCTAATTTGTTTTAATCTAACCATTGATTTAATGTGTTCTCAGAGTAATACTAAAACTAAAATCTGTAAACCCTTAACAATAATGTTTACTAAAAGTATGCATTGTACTAAACAATGCATTATTAAAATCTGACAAGTTTTTGCTCTTGAAAGTATATTAATTATAAACTTCTTCTTTAAGTTAGTTATATCAATAATTCCGACTTTTTTCTAGATAGAGTATACTTTTTCCAGAATATTTGTCCTCACTTTCTGAGAGACTACTTCAGGAACTGATATGTAGTCAACATGAAGACAGAATATAGAATAACTGAAATAACTCCATGTGGTAATTAACCAAATTTTAATGTTACAAAACATATGATGATCATTTCAATAATTTTATTTATTAAGAAGGACCTAAAATCCATTTAAATAGAATTTAGTATAATTCATTAAAGTTAAAAATGACCATATTGAAAGTTTATCTATTTTAAAAGAACATACATTAAACTCAAGACTATCGTAGAGTTGATTAATTTTAAATAAAACATGAAAGTAACTAATACAATACTGAAAAATTTGTATCTTCTTATTAACAACTAATAATTACTTTCAGCATAGTATTTTGTAATATATAACAGAGATGATATTGCAAAATTCAAGAGTTAATTAACATAGATGAAACAAAGAATAAATAAATAAACAGTATTTACAATTTATTTATTTATTTTAACAGTATTTATCTCTTTTTCGGTGCAAATATTCATTTAAACAATGGTATTTTCCGATGGAGCTCTTCTAATGTTACAAGGTGTACACTTGCACCATTGTCTTTAAGATATTGAATAATATGTAAAAAGAAAGGACTTTTCATTTACTTCCATTTACACAATCTCGAATTTTCAAAGTTGTTCTGATAGAGGGCCTCTCTACATGCCATAGCAATCCATTCTAATTTAGATTTGGAATAAACTTGCCTTATTTAACCAGTGGATTAAAACACTTTCCATGTATTGGAAAGTTGTGGCCACTATTTTTCTACTGTTTGGCTTGATATGTATAATCCCTGAGTTACTTATTTGAACAGTTAATTAAATTAAATTAAGTAATAAGAAATAAAAGAAACTACTTGATAACACTGATGAATCATGCGAGTAACAGTAATGTATGTTTATTGACAATTTTTATAGGAATGCCAATTTAATAAACCTCTTATATTTATTTCTGAATCATGATAGTACTTGTTTTATATTTAAAACCGCAAATTTAATTTTTACGATAGGTAATGGTAACATTTTTTTACTAAAATGAAACGTCAAAAATTTGTGGAGGGTAATCATAAAACACAACACTATTATATTATAATTTACAATCAAATTTATAGTTTCAAAAAAGGTATTAAGAAATATTGACAATGATACCTATACAGTGGTAGATAAAAATTATTCCTGGACAAAACAAGTTACCCCTTTCAAAATCACCCTTAGAAAAACTGGTTCTGTTTGTAGGGGAATAATCATTAATAAATAAGAGACTTTTCCAGAAGGTGTTTTGTTTTTTCTGGTGGCAAATAATCTGCATAGTAAATCCATTATTTTAATACAACAAAAAAATCAAAACCATAAGAAATTACTATACATGATTCATTAAAATAATTAAAATTAAGCAGATATAAAATTATATTAATAATTTAAACGATGATAGTTCCAAATAATTGCTATTAAATATAATTTAAAAGAAATTTCAATCGATCCATCCCCTGTCAAAGCTACCATGTTCAACAAAACACATGGGTTTGTTTTTAACAGAAACTTAATCAGTATAACCTACCCAAAACAAATCTCATAAGCTGAAGTTTGCCGATAAGAAACCAGTTCCTTATAACAAGCTTTGATAATTATTTAACAAATGTATGCTGCTTCAAATGCTTAATTTTATAATGATTTAAAAATTACCTTTGCCTTCTTCCTTCTGCTCATTTTGACAACTTCAACAAACACAAGGAACAAAACAACCACTACAAATTTAGGCGGACAACTGACTTGAAAATCGTGGGACAGCCAATGATCAGCTGACGCGCAAGCGCAGAAGCACGACAAAGATCCCGCTAGCATTTAAAAACTAATCTTCCATCAAGTTAGTTTTCACTTTTTTATTTATCATTCTTTGAAAATTCTATTTGTTTTCAAATCTATCTAATAAAGTCCTGAAGATTTTGTGTTTATTGGGAGTAAAATAGTTTAACACATAATTATCTGTATAGACAATGGACATTTAAATATTTACACAAACACAGAAAAAAAATGTTAAGCTTTCTGACCATGATATAATAATTTTAAAACACGAGACAAATAATTATGGAGGGTTTTGATAATGCTAGTATTTAAAATGCAACTTTTTACTTTTAATTCAAAATAGTAGTTGAATGCAGTCAGTGTCGGCCGGCTCTGGGTTCTGATGCAACTTTTGCAAGGTATATGTATAATATGTACATGTGAAGATAATAATACATTTATGTAGGATTATGATTAAAAATAAAACTCAATTTCAATTTATCGTAAACGGATTTTTTTTTTTTACATTCTTTAACAATACATATCAAAATATAATGATGAAACACAAGAAGAACAAGGCAGAAATTAACATTCAAAACTTAGCTATTTATTTAAAACATTTCATCATTTCAGATCTATTGGGTAAGATAAAATGTAAAACGTTCTGCTGGTGTAAAATAAAATTTGAGTGAGTATTACCCAAAACACTTGAGATCAAACCAATGTTAGTGAACATTGTCATGTTTAGACGGTTAATTTAGAACATTTGAAAGGGGTAACTAGTTTTGATTTAACGTTTTCGATTGAATATTGATGCTCATATAAATGTCCAGAAATGGTCTGTCAGTGCATAAATCCGTTTTAAATTAACTGGTGGATGACATAATACCCCACCATGCAACAAGATATTCTAACCAACAGCTAATATAATTTTGTATGGATATAATTAATCATAAATTTGTTCCATGTTTTCTTGGTGTCCTCTTGTAACGGTGCATAGTGAGCCGAGCGTGTAGGTTTCGTGGATATCGGCTGTAACTTACTCCCAAATTTCAATAGATTACTCAAATGTTGTCACTATATGTTTATTAGGGTGTTGAATTTTAATTCAAGTCATTTGGTCGACAAGATTAACTAGTATAAAATAATTATGAATTAAATAAAGTAATTTACCTGCCCATGATAATACCTACTCAACTTGTTATTTGGCGATCAAAAGTGAAATATATTTATTTAAATATTAGCAATATTTTAAAACGTTTTAACAGCTCTGTTGTGATATTTAAGACGAACATTCGACAAATATTTTTTTTTTTCAATATGTCTTTAATATAATAATGCCTATATATACTAGGATTTATAATCTCATGTTGAATCGTGAAGTATTTCAATTAAAATAAATATTGTAAAAATATTCTCGTTAAGTACGATAGATTATTTCCGATTTATTCTTGTAGTTTGTATTTTAAACATGGTGTTTCAGATGTTGCATTATTTATTACCTATTTAAGAAGGACATATTGTTGTGAAATTTAAACATAAAAAATAGCAAGCATGTAATAATAAAAATTACATTCTAAATACTTTTCATAGTTTAAAACAAAACTCTTTGACTGTTTATTAAGTGGTCAACATAGTCAGTACCGGCCTTAGGCATTTTACAGATATTTAGAATAAATATTTTCAGGTCTTAGAGATTGATTTTGTCTTTGAAATGTCATATTTACGAAAAAATAATTATAGAAAAAATGTAATTTAGTACAATCTTACAGTTCATTGGTCTTTATTGTTATAATTATGTAAAAATCGAAGCATAAAGCAATTATAAAAACAAAGTAAACATTTACTTACATCTTGAGACTTATTCTATGTGCTAGTGGATAACAAAACGTAGATTCTACAAAAAAAAAATATTTCTCATACATGTTTTTTTTTTTAAATTACGAGTGAGATTTCTGTGTTAATATTTTATGTAGAGTAAAGAGATTGTTAGTTGTGTAATTCAATCAATGACATTTATGCCAGAATTACCGTTTTTAGTTTACTTTTGTTATGGCAATTATTACTTCAATCGCATTTATATGAACAATTAGCTGTTACAGTCAGTAGTAGCCATTATTAGGCATACTCGTATGGAACATTCTGAGTTTAATCGAAATTTTTCACAAGCCTCTATATTGGATTTTATGAACCCAAAGTGTTCTCTAATGCAATATATAAAAAAAAAATCTTTCATTTAGTAAAAATAAGAAACCTTTTATAATTTAATCCATTAAAAAGCTGATTGTTTGATAATTTGAACAAAGATGTAAAAAATATTTAAAATTTTCGAACAATTTTGTTTCAGTGGTCTACCGTGTATAGAATTCAAAAATATTTTATCAATAATATTTTAATTTCTTAGTTTAAAAAGTAATTTATTTAATATTTGTTTTAAATTTTAATAACTCTATCAGTAAAATGTTTTACTTTTGTTTTATTTTTTAGCTATACGGGGTTTTCCTGGGCAGGAGGTAAAGCCCTATTAAGATTAATACTTGAGTTAAACCCCAATGCATTGGGATGAATAAAGGAAAATTCACGATAACGACTATATTTTTATATATCTCCAAAAACTAGATAAACTGTTTTATTGATACCTTTTGGAGTTCGTGAGAATATTTTCAATTGGCAGAATGTACATTTTTCACTGTTTTTATTCAACAGTTCCATTGAAAACATAGTAATTTTAGTGGAATTTAGTGCGATTTGTAGATTTTGTAAAATTCCGTGGTTTCAGCTGGTGGTCGATAATTTTTTCTTGAAGCTTTATCATCTTTTTAATTCCATACTCCTTGGCTAGAAAAATATAATAATTTCTAAAACATGTTATTTTCGAATCATTTTAGTTAACAAAGACTACGATTTAAAAAAGCTCCAAAATACTTCGAAAATTTAATTTTCTTAATCTTTTTGTTTTTATCTTTTTAAAATCATTGATCATCATCAAGAGAAATTTTTAATAATTTTAACCGTCGTAATCCATCCAAGGACAGTTAAAAAATATTTAAAATCATTTTTGTTTTTATGAAAGCAAATTTTAGATATGTACTAATCTCTCCTTTAACTGCACATTTTTTAAATTTAGTTTTAACAACTGCACTAAAAATAAAGAAAATAAGGCTCTGCAGTTATTTTTTTCGAAAAATATCTAAAACTAAAATAGGAAAAAAAATATTTACATTAAATACTAAATCTTCATTGTTTTAAAATATTAATTTTGTCTAAAAATATGTTAAGAAAATTAAATGAGGAATATCAGCAGTGGGGACTAGTTATTAATGCAGAGAAAACAGAATACATGAAATTCAATAATGAGGATATAGAACTGAATACAGGAGGGGTTCTAAAAAGAATTAAACATTTTAAATATCTTGGCTCTATAATTGAAATAGATGGTGCATGTGATGTAGAAATAAAAAGAAAAATTTCAGATGGCAAGAAGACCATATCAATGCTCAACTCGGTATTATGGAACCGGAACATTATCCCCAAAACAAAAAAAAAAACAAAAAAACATCTACAATAGTATCGTAAAAATGGATTTCTGGAGACGAGCGGCGGGAATATCCAGAATGGGTAAAGTCAGAAATATGACCATCAGAGAAAAGATGGAGGCTAAAAGAACAATTCTGGAAGAGATTGAGATAAAACGCCTGAACTGGTATGGCCATTTGAAAAGTGCCAGAAGGAAGACTACCCAAAGAAGTCCACTTATGGAAAACTAGGGAAAGAAGAAGACGAGGAAGACCTGGGATAACGAAGTGGAGGAATCCATGATGGGTCATGTTCTACGGGAAGAATGGACCTTAGATAGTATATTATGGAAAGAAGTCATCCAAGTTTCATGTTAAGGAAACCCATTATTAGTGAAAACTACTACTAAAAAAAAAATAAAAAAAATAAATAAAAAAATGTCTAATTAAATATGAAATAAACATTAATATTATTCTTTTAACTGTATATAACCATCGTTTATTTTAGTATATTTATATTTAAATATAAATCAATAAACACACGTTAAATGAACAAAAGATAACGGGTGCCTGTATAAGAGGGTCTCAAAGAAAAAAAATAGTTTTTTTTTAACATGTTCCACTAATCTTACTGTCTGTTAATAACAAAATATGATATCTTCAATCTCAAACCCTTATTCTTTTTAAAAGCCATAATAATTTTATAAGGGTAAAATTAATCGGAGGATATTCGGTTGAACATTTATGACTATTTTTATCAGTTATTCTTAATATAATCTTTAAAATTAACGGAAAAATATGTATTTTTTTTTCATCGGAGAATATTATCAATATCATTATCGATAGTGTTTAAATTTTTTTTGTAATAAAAATAAAATAAAATGGTTATTATTCCATAAGAACTATTGTAAAATGGATATTTATAAATGATAAAAGTTACATTTGTACAGTACATTTTGTTTAGTTATTACAGTTTAAATGTTTTTTTTATAACATAATATAAGCAGTAGTTATAGGTACGTGTAACGATTATATGTTTCAAGACGTCTTTATCATGTTCGAAGTTAACTTACTGTAAAATATAAAATTCCACAGGTTCAAACAAAGAAACCTGAATTTTCTATCGTTTCGTGAAAATTTTCCAATTTTGATATAATTTTTCTGTTCCTTGACCTTGAAAACATAAGGGTACTAAATATCAAGTTAATCAAATTACACATGATTTATTTATTTATTTATTTGTTATTTTAAATACCAAATAATGTGAAGTTATCTGTTATCTTTTTATTGAGTAAGAACATTTTCTTTTTCTATTTTATTGGTTGATTGATTTTCGCGGTTAAAATTACTTTCCCACAGCTTAGAAGTAGGCTTAAGGTTATACCAGTGCATATTTTCCGATTTTTCTTTTCCTTTTCCTTTTTTATCTCGTATATGGATGATTAGTTTTTCTCGGTTCAAAATATTTTCCAACTGTTCAGAGATAAGGTTTTTCTTGAAGACTTAATTGTTGACCGTTTTATATTTTAGAGGAAGGAGATGGTC